TGATGAAGACTTCTTAGATATTATCAGATTTCTTTAGGCAATGAATTTCCTGGCCATGGGGGCTTAGGACCATTGTTTTGGGATACCATGGTCAAGTGGCATAACATAGTCCACAAAGACATTGTTCCACATCCTACTATGGTGAGTAGCATCTGGGATCTTAAAAACTTATAAACAATTAGCAACTGTTGGTCTCTCTATGTGTAGAAGAAAGAAGAGTGATGAAAATTAATGCTTGTAATCAGCTAGTCCAGTGGAACATTTGAACATCAGTCACCACAACTCTGAGACCAGAAGAACTAGATGGGTCCCAGCTACCATTACCAACTGCTCTGAAAGGGAGGGATTACTTTAAAAGTACCTGGGTAGAGTGAGGAAAAAACAAACTCACAATTATTTTTTTTTTTAATGTTTTATTGTGAGTTATGTGATAGTTTGTATGGCAGAACATTAGCTTTACATTAATCGTATCATATATTATTTCATTGCCCTGATTACAGTCCCCTCCGTGCATCATCAAACAACCAAGCCGCAAGCCTGCCCCTCGGTTGTCAGCACACAGCCCCTCTCCTTCTCTGGGTCTAGAGTTCCCAGTCGTTCCATCTCTCCATGTCATCGTCTCTGCCTCCATCTCTGGGTAGGGCCCTGCACTCCATTCTTCTCCCTTGTTGGTCCCAAAGTCAGCCACTCCCCTTCTTTTGCTACAAAACGTCTACCTTTACATTTTCAACCCTCACAGTCAGTCCTGATAGCAATTATTCACTATTGTCCTATCCCCATCTCTTCTCATCAGCCCTGCCCAGACAGATTGGATACCACTCAGTACAGATTCTACCTTCCTCCACATCCTCTGGATCTACGCTCCCTCTTGAAAAGTTTGTAAGCCAGTCACTTCTTGCCTTTGTAGTCCCCCAGTTTTGGGTAGCCAATGTCCAAGTTGCCCATCCCTGTCAACCCTGTGTTGAGGGGGTGGGAGTGATCCTCACTATAAAGATTTGTTCCCTCTTTTGAGCTATTTCATCCATAGATGTGGGTCAAGTTCATCAAATTGTATCAGATTACTCTTTTTTTCTTTTTCTTTCGGTTGAGTTCTGATCATCTAGTAATTGAAGCCAGGTCAGGTGGGTTTATCTGCAAGTGTGGGTGTTCTTGTACATATCCCTTCGCTTATCAGCTGGACGATTCACTCTCCACTCTAGTTCTCTCTGGCTATGTCACTGACTCTGGGCCCAAGAGTCCCGAGGTCTTGCCACACTGCTGGCCAACCAGGTCGCCACCCGGGTTCACAGGAGTCTATTGAACATGGTCGAACTTAGCTCACAGCTTCAATGCTGTTTTTTCCTCAATTCCCCTTATCCGTGAACAATGTGGTCACCAGTCAGAGTGCATTTCTGCTTGTGTATTCCCCTTGAGTCTTAGTCTTGGAAGGGGGTTTGTCCTGAGGGGACCTGAGCACATGCATTTATATCTCCCGGTGAGCAACTTGTTTGTTCTTGTAGTAATCAGTCGGATTGCCCTTATTGTTTATTACTTTTCCTGTCAGCCTTTCTTTCAAGAAGTATCTTCTGGTCTTCTAGCTGTTCCAGGCTGGTCTGCTTGTCCTTTCAAGTGGAGATTTCCCACCTCAGAAGATTCTGGATGGGGTTCAGGATTCCACCTATGGTCTTATGCAGTGCAGAGGCTCCGCAGGCAGCCTTCTTCACTGAGCACTTTGTAGCCCCTTTTAGGTATTCAGTCAGTTGTAGGCAGAAAAAGGACTTACAAGCTTTCTATGGTGATATCTCTGGCTATTCTTTTCTCTCCTCCACAAATGTCTATCACAATTATTTTTTAAAAGACCAGGTCAGAGACCAGTGGAACCTGAGGCTATGCCCTCTACCACCCTTCAGGTCTGGAATAGAACTCATCTTGTGTCTCTTGTTTTCATCAAAGCAGTAGATCGGTATACAGGGGTGGCTTCCACAACGCTTCACTAGTATGTTCACCATGGTCAGTCATTCAAGATACAAAGGGCAACATTTACCTAAGGGAAAAGTTGAGAAGGGATGGGCAGAGGAGTGGAATGGAAATAGAAGCCACAGGAAGGAACTGGGTTAATTGTTGTTATATGGAGTGTATTGCAATCATTGAAATGAAACAAAGTGTATGATTTGTTGAATATAAAACTGATGATCTGCTCTGCCAACCTTTACTCAATTCATAATAAAAAGTTTAATAAAAAAGAATAGCACACAAAATTAGTCATTTGGACAATGCTAATGAAAAAAACACACAACAACAGAAGAACCCAATGGTACTGAAGAATGGAAGTCCCATCCTCACCGAAGGCGTTGATGAAAAAGAAGACTCCAGAAACTGATGGAATACTAATTAAAATGTTTCCGCAAACTTGCAGCACTGCAGGCACTCACTCGTGTATGCCAAGAAATTTGGTCAGCCGCCTATAGAGGATACATGTTTGTGTCCATTCCAGTGAAAGATGGTCCAACAGAATGTGGATGCTATCAAACAATATCATTAATATTATCTCCAAATAAAATTTTGTTGAAGGTAATTTGAAAATGACAAGCAACAGAAGTTCATACTGTTTACACCAAGAGTCCTGCAATAATGATGATCTACTGGTGGCTGTATCAATAGCCTCTCAGGCTAAACAGGTGTGTGAGAGAGAGTGCGAGTGTACTCACAACTATATATACAGGTTTGACAAAAGAGATTTGTGTATAGGTATTTGCTTTGACTGCAAATATATCCATGAACGTGATGGAGCTTATAGGGCACAAAGTTGTGAAAACTTTGTAGACATTACCAAACATCATAAAGGGTGTTTTGCTGTGCTTGGGGATTCATGGTGTCTGGTGATAGTGGCCAATTGGCATAGTGTAATCTACAAAGACTATTCTACATCCTGATTTTGGTGAGTAGTGATTGGGATCTTAAAAGCTCATGTAAGTTGCAACTATTGGTCTCTCCCTGTCTAGATGAAAGAAGAATGATGAAAATTGAAGACACCTGGAAACAACTTTATATATTGTGATAAAATGTTGACAAAACAAAATTTTTTGAAAGACTAGCAGAGCCCTATGACTATAACCCTCGGTCACGCTTCAGGTCTGGAACTGAACTCTCTTGCATGGCTCAATGTTCAGCCAACCAGTAGAATCTAGCAGCTTCTTTGACTTGGGGCATCAGACTGGAAACCACCAGGTCGGCAGTTCGAACCCATCAGCTATTCCATGGGAGAAAGATGAGGCTTTCTGCACCCTCTAAGATTTAAGGCCTTGGAAACCCTACATAGGGTTGGTATGACACTTAACAACAATAAACACTGAATTATCATTGTGGAAAGAGGAATATCATTGCTAAAACAGAAAACAGGAAAGATGTTTAATTATGTTTCATTGGCTATGCAAAAGCATTGAGCCATATGGATCATAAAAAACTATGGATATCATTTTGAAGAATAGGGGTCCCAGAATACTTAATTTGCTCGTGTGGAACCTGAACATAGACCAAGAGGCATTCGTTTGAACAGAACAAGGAGACACTGCATGGCTGTAAATTAGGAAAGGTGTGCGCCAGGGTTGTATTCTTTTACCATGCTAATTCAGTCTCTATGCTGAGTAAATAATTCATGGCATCAGTATTTGGAGGAAAGCTGGTTAACAACTTGTGGCATGCAGATAACAAACTCTTGCTTGCTGAAAGTGAAGAGCGGTACAATACTTACTGATGAAGATCAAAGACTACAGCCTTCAGTATAGATTATACTTCAGTGTAAAGAAAACAGTTCATACAAATAAGGTCATTAAGCAACATCATGATAAACAGAAAAGGTTGAAGTTATTAAGGGTTTCCTTTTTCTTGGATTCACAATGAACACCCATGGAAGCTTCTTGCTGAATGCTGTCCAGTCGGTTCTGACTCACAGTGACCCTGTGTAGGGTTTCCAAGGTATAGCTGGTGGGTTTGAATTGCCGACCTGGGGGTTAGAAGTCCAATGCTTATCTTATAGTGCCACACCAGGACTCCCATGGAAACAGTAATTAATAAACAATTCATTGGGCATATTTGATTCAAAAGATCTCTTTAATGTGTTAAAGACCAAAGAAGTCAATTTCAGGACTAGGGTACACCTGACCCAAGCCATGATATTTACAATAGCCTTATAAGCATTGAAAGTTAGTGACTAAGGAATCTGGAGGAGATTTGATTCCTTTCAATTAAGGTGTTGGTGAGAAATAATCAGATGTGCCATGGACTGTGAGAAGAATGGACAAATCTGTGTTGCCTTAGATGTGAGGATGGTGAGACATGATCTCTTATACTTTGAACATGTTATTAGGAGGGACAAATCCTTGTAGAAAGACATCATGCATGATAAATAGAGGGTTCGCAAAGCAAAGGACAAACACCACTGAGGTGGAATGATACAGTGGCTACAGCAGCGGACTCAATCATTAGTACGATTGCCCAGGCCTGGGCGGTGTTTCCTTCTCTTGTACAGATGGTCGCTGTGAGTTGGAACTGACTGAGTAGCACCTAACAACAGCAACTATATTAGTGGATATAGTTGATATATATCTATATTAGTGGATATATTAGTTTTGGTGGTGGAGGTGGTTATTTGCTGTGGAGTCAGTTCTGACTCATAGTGACCCTGTATAGGGTTTCTGAGATTTATGGGAACAGAAAGCCTCATCTTTCTCCCGCAGAACAGCTTCAACAGTTGCAAACTGCTGACTTTGAGGTTAACAGCCCAACTCGTAACCATTACACTACCAGAGCGCCTTACTGGATATATTAGTCAATGTTAACTACTTTGCATGTTAACTAAATGTAAACTTCAGTAGTATGTAATTAGAATTGTATGCGTTATGTTCGTATTTGTACATATTTACAAAATGCTTTAGAATGTGCTTGAAGTCATTTTAGGAGTGGTGCTCATTTAATTTAACTACTCATTTAAAATTGACTTTCCCCTTTTATTGTGGCTTTAGGAGAAACTAATTAGAGATATTGTTCATTATAATGGAGTTTTGATCACTTCTTATTCCTACATTCGACTGATGCAAGATGACATTAGCAAGCATGACTGGCATTATATGATCCTGGATGAAGGACACAAAATACGAAATCCCAATGCTGCCATTACCCTCGCTTGCAAACAGGTCTGTGCTCTCCGTGTACAGGGGGATAACAGTATTTAAATCAAAAGAAACTTCTTAGTAAGATTCATAAAACACGTTTATTGAATCTTGTGCCTTTTGTATGAAAATTGAAAAGATACATTTTTGCTGTAATATAGTAAACTATTATGGCCCTTCCTCATGTTTTGTGTTTTGTTTTCACATTACTTAAATTACTTAATGTCTCTTGTAAGGATGACTTTTTGAATATCACCAAATCTAATACCAATCCTTTATTCTGTTTGAACATTTAAAAAACATTTTCCTTTTTTTTTTTCATATATAATTGGAGAGTACTGATGTGCAGGTTATGATCTGCAGCCATGATGGAAGTGTTTGGGTAGGGTGACAATTCTTTGCTAAAAAGTGAATTTATTACTCAGGTTTTTTCCTTCATCATGTAGTTCCGCACCCCTCATCGCATCATCCTGTCTGGCTCACCGATGCAGAATAACCTCCGAGAGCTCTGGTCACTCTGCGACTTTGTCTTCCCGGGAAAGTTAGGGACGTTGCCGGTTTTTATGGAGCAGTTCTCTGTCCCCATCACGATGGGAGGATATTCCAATGCTTCCCCAGTACAGGTAACCCTTTGGCATTTTAATATTTAAAATGTTCCTATTTAGTCACTTTGTAGCAAAGTCATTCAGGATATAAGGGAACTGGGCAAGTTCTTGAGTTTCTTGGTTGGTTTGTTTTTTTAATTGTGGGAAATACTCATTTAGAATAAAACTTCTTACAAACTAGATTTAAATAGTTTGGTTTTGATTGTTCCTGGAGCTGTCAGAGACTAGGAATCAAAAGTAAATCAGTTCTGGGCATCATATAGCTTAGTGTAAATTGGCGTAATGCATCTTCTAAAGTAGTGTAAACACTTAGAAAATAGGATTCCAGGGAGGACTGGAATATTCCAGGAAGGCTTATGAGATAACGCTTACTGTAACCTGATATTTTTTTTAAAAAGGCCAAGAGGAGAGAGGGCATTCTGGATTAGACAAGAATCTGAACACAGCCATGCCGTGTGGTCTTGGGCAGTGAAGAGACCTTTCCTTAGACTGGAGTCGCATGTGGGAAAGCAGAGCCTTAGAAAGGAACAGAGGTCCAGGCAGGGTTTTGAGCAAACTGTTGGGCGAGTGCTTCTTTTAGATTTCTCGGGTAGCAGGGTGTTTACAGGGAGGAAGGCTGGCATTGAGAGGGATTTGGAGGAATTAATGGTGGTGACGGTGATCAGAACTGGTCCTGGACTTTGATGGTGGTACTGGGAAAGAATTGAAGAGTAAAAGGCACAAGTGATGTTTTGTAGACATAACAATCAAGCAGTGGAGACTGGTAAGGAAAAGGTGGAAGGCTGCTACAGCAGAGCCCTGCCTGGGGATTTAGACCCGAATGACTAGTAGAATGGCTCATAATGGCAGCAGCAACAACAGATAAAGCTGACTTGAAGACACTTTTAGGCATTTGCACTGGAATGGCTGGTACCAAACCACAACAATAAAGTGTAAGCCACAAACATTTTTTAAACCTGTAAAAGCGGAGATTGTCAACAACTATTTTTCTGCCATTTCCATTTTGAGATTGAATGATTTTTAGTGAACTTTGTGAGTAAAGGTTTTCTTTTCCCCCTCTGAATCACTATTGTCCTTCATTTGTAACTTTTTTTTATCTTCTTTTGAAATAATTTCAAACTCAACAAAGTGGCCAAAATTATAGCAGGTAATCTCATAGATTAAAAAATTGTTTTAATATTGGCTAATATTTTGTCTGTCAGTTTGTAATACTGTAGTAGCTTGTGTCTTGCTATGATACTGGAAACAATGCCACGGGTATTTTAAATAACAGCAGGGTCCCCCATGGTGGATAGATTTCACCTGAGCTTCCAGACAAAGACAGACAAGGCAGAAGGAGAGACGGACTGCATCGAATATTTACTCACTGAAAACCTTATGAGTAACAGTGGAACACTGTTAGCACCAAGAAGCGCTGGTAGTGTAATGGTTACGAGTTGGACTGATAACCTTAATGTCAGCAGTTCCAAACTACCAGCCATTCTGCAAGAGGAAGATGAGGCTTTCTGCTCCTATAAAGATTGACAGCCTCAGAAACCTTCTGTGCATGGTTGCTATATGTGGGAACCAACTCCACAGCACACCACTACCACCACCACTGTTAGCACCAGAATTTTGAATATTGAAACATGATTAATAGCACCAGAATATTATCATATATAGTGCCAGAAGATGAGCCCTTCAGGTTGGAAGGCACTCAGAATACGACTGGGGAAGAGCTGCCAACTCAAAGTAGAGTTGACCGTGATGATGTGAATGGAGTAAAGCCTTTGGGACCTTCACTTGCTGATGGGGTGGGGTACAAAATGAAGAGAAATAGCTGTACGCATCCCTTAATAATCAGAACATGGAATGTACGAAGTATGACTATAGGAAGATTGAAAGTTGTCAAAAATTCAATGGAACACATAAACACCAATATTCTAGGCACTAGTGAGCTGAAAAGGAGCTCTGGTAGCATAGTGGTTACAAATCGGGCTGTGAACCTCAAGGTCAGCAGTTCGAAACTACCAGCTGTTCCACGGGAGAAAGATGAGGCTTTCTGCTCCTGTCAAGATTTACAGCCTCGGAAACCCTGTACAGGGTCAGTATGAGTTGGAACTGACTCCATGGCACATAACCACCAACCACCACCATCACCTATGTTAACGTGTTTTTACCCTCTAGCTCGTGAATAATTTTTCCTCTCCCACCCCTGTAACTATCATAGGTTGTTTCTGCTATCAAGAAAATCTTTTTAAAATAAATTAAAAAAAAACAAAACACCTTTTTACAACATTGTTGTTGCTGTTGTTAAATGCCATCAAGTCGGTTCCAACCTATAGTGACCCTGTATAGGGTTTCCGAGGAGCGACTGATGAGCTTGAACTGCCGACCTTGCAGTTCAAACAGTTTTGCAGTCTGGCGAATTAACCCACAGCATTAGTCTCATGCAATATTTGTCCTTTTGTGATTTACTAATCTCACTAAGCATAATGTCCTCCAGGTTCAATCATGTTGGGAGGTGTTTCACAGATTCATCAGTCTTCTACGACATTTTGTAGTATCCCGTTGTGTGTACTTACCAAAGTTTGTATATCCATTCTTCTTTTAGGCAATCTCCATCTTTTTGTTATGTCTCTTAAAGACAGCATATTGAAGTATCCTGTTTGCCTATCTATTCTGCTCTGTATGTCTCTTTTTGTATTTTAAGTTTTTATTGTGAATTGAGTGATAGTTTACATAGGAGAACATTGGCTTTACGCCATCGTTTCATTGCAATGATTAGTCTCCTCCTGCTTTGTTTCTTTCTTTTTTTTTTTGCGGCGTTGGGGGGGCATACACAGGAATATATAATAATTTAAACAACCAGAGGGCACGTTTTCTGCAAACCTGCCTCCTATCTGCCATCACCCAATCCTTTTCTTTCCATGAGTCCAGAGTCCTCAGCTGAAAGGGAAAAAACAACCCCGGCGCTGCTCATCAACCACACCTCTCACCAAATGGCCCATCTAGAGACTTTTAACCTCTGCTGGAGAGAGAAGGCAGGAGGCAGTAGGGAAGAGAGGAAGAAGAAGAAGAGCAGAGAGAGAAGAGAAGAGAGAGTCAACGTGAAGGGAGGGGATTTACATAGGTTCAGCAGGAAGGGAGTTGTCATTGCTGGGGTGATTTAGCTCTGGCCTATCAAAAGCCATGTTGTCCTTTAAAACTATGTGCCTTGTAGCTTAGACAAAATAGAGTTGGAGGGAGGGGAGAGGGAAGAACCATAAGGTATTGTAACATTGTAACATCAGCTACTCCCTCTCACCATGTCCTCATCTCTGCCTCCATCTTTGGTGTCGCTGCTTCTCTGTTCCCTTTTCTCTTGATGGCCCTAGGGTCCTCTGTTTCTGGACTGTAAGATTAACTACTCCCCCCATTTTTGTTACAAAACTTCTACCCTTACAGTTGTGACAGTCACAATTGGTCATAACAATTTCTCATTATTGATTCATAAGAATCTTATCCCCATTTCTTTTCACCAGACCCGCCTAGACAAGATGAAGACTATTCAGTGGGGACTCTATCTTCCCCTGCACACTCTTAAACTAAACTCGCAATTGAAACTTTTAAGCCAGTCACTTTGTGCCTGTATTACCCCCTCATTTTAGTAACCAATGCCTAAGTTGTCCATCTCTATCTACCCTGTATACAGATGGGATAGGGTTGATACTTGATGTGAAGACTCCTTCCCTCTCAGTTGATATTTTGAGCTACTACAACCAGAGGTAGCTCAAGTTCATCAAATTGTAGCAATTCACATTCGTTTTCTTTATCAAAAATGTTACTTTGTGTTATCTTCTGCTAGTTGAGTTCTGATTGTCAAGCCATCGAAGCTAGGTCAAATGGGTACTCTCTGGAAGTTTGGGTGTTCTTGTGCATCTCTCCTTACTTCGTATCAGCTGGACGCTTCACACGCTCAGCTCTAGCCCACTATGGCTATGTCCTTGTCCATGGGCTCAGGAGACCCAGGTCTCACCATACTTTGGACCAACCAGCCCTTCCTCTTCTCTCTCTCTCATCTCCAGGTCAGTGGGAATCTTTGGAATGTGGTTGAACTCAGCCCATTTCTTCATTGCTGCCTTTCCCCCTCTTCTACTCACCAGTAGACCAACATGGTCGCCAGCAAGCTTGCATGCCTACTCATGTGTTCCCTTTGAGTTTCACTCTTGGAGGGAAGTTTGTCCTGAAGGGACTTGTTTGCTTGCCTTGATGGCTCCCCAGCAGACAACTTGCTTGTTCTTGTAGTAGTCAGTCAGACTGGCATGTTTTGGATTTTTCCTGCTGATCTTTCTTTGAAGATGTACCTTGGTTTGCTCTAGCTGTTTCAGGCTGGTCTGCTTGCCCTTTCTAGTGGGAATGCCCTACCTCAGAAGGTTCTGTATGGGCCTCAGAATTCCACCTAAGGTCGTATACTCTGCAAAGGCTCTGCAAGAAGCCTATTTCACTGGGCAAGGTGTAGAACCCTTTTAGGTCTTACAGTCAGTTATAGGCTGAAGACGGGCTTACAAGTTTTCTGTGATCATGTCTCCCGACATTCCCACTCACGGTTCTATTTTACAATTGTAGGCAAGGGAAACCAATATTCTTAAGTCAGTCAAGCATCTTTACATTATTTCCCCTCTTCAGACTATGCCTCGATCCCTGTATCACAGAGGCCTGTTGCTATAAGGTTGAGCATATATCATTATTTACTTCTGTCTCATTCAGCACATGCAAACCTGTCTCAGTGTTCCCCTATCTACCTTGTTCTTCCACCCCCCTCCTCATTCTTGTGTATTGCCCTGCCCAACACCTGAACTATGATCTGTCTA